TAAACCAAAGGGGTTTGTAAGAAAACATAAAATCGAAAACCCATTACCATTTGGAGGTGTTGAAGCCACGGCGGAGGAGGGAGATGAACTGCTTGACGATCTCGACGGAACGAGCGGCGGCGGTCATGGCCGGAGAAAACAAAAGGGGCAACGAAGAAGAAGAAGAAGAAGAAGAAGAAAGTGAAACGATCTTGTAAGAGAAGGGGAAGGGACAGTGAGGCGCATAAAAAGGGAGACCTTTTACCAGCTGAAGATCAGAGAAGGGCCCCACTGCCACGCCGACCATTTTACAGAGCGTTGCATTTGCAATAATTCTTTTTGGATATAGCCGTTGGGGGAAGAATCCGATGCAGCTTACTCGGGACAGAGAGTGGTACACGTGGCTGAGGCTAAACTGCCACGTTGGCAACAAGGTGTCATTTCTAAATAATATATTTGAGTTATTTGCAAAATTTTAAACTCTCATTAATTACAAATATATGTTTTTTAATTCTAATTTTTTAAATTAGATTTGTAAATTTTAATTAAATAAATGTTTGAAAATTAATTTTTATATATAAAAGTAGATTGAATAAATTAATTAAAATATTTTGTATACAAATAATTTTGGGTGGGTGTCGACTTCACTGACTAATGATATTCAGAAGACAAACTCTGGTATGAATCAATTCCCTGAACAATCCCTCTGTTCCACGTTCGATTCTTTCAATTCTCCAATCCAATCCCTGTAATCTCTCTCGAACAATCGATTGAATCGTCTCTTTCGCTTCACCGTTTAACGATTCCAACTGTAGCCTGTCGATCGCCATGTCTAGGTTCACCAATTCGTTGATTCTTTCCGTGTGGTCGTTGCGGGTGATCGCTCCCTTCTGCACGAGCCTCGACACCAATGTCCATCGGCTAGGTTTCGGTCTCCTGTTCATCGGCACGGCGAGGAAGGATAACAGAGAGTTGAAGATGGAGGAGGTGACGGAACTTGCTTCTCTTAGTACTCTGATTACTGCCGCAGTGACTTCGTTTTCTATTTGAAGAGGAGGAGAGGCTCCGGCTGTGTAATCTTTTTGTCTGAGCGATGTGATCGATTTCTTCAAGCTTTCGTGTTTGATTCTCTTTCTCGAGCAGATATATGAAGCGATGCCGGTCTCGACGCCGGAATCTTCGTATTTGCTTCGCCGGATCGCCGATTGGAGTTCTCGAATGCTTTCTTTTATCACCAAAATAGCGTCTCTCGTATTGTCGCAGATATCCAGGAATCTAACAGAGTTATCCACCAATTCCTGTACCCAAATTTCACCTCGGAGTACGGCTAGAGCTTGTTGGGGCAGTGGCAGGTTCAGAACCTCGTTTATGCATCTGTAGAGCTCCACCAAGCCGGAGAGACTGCTGCAAATCGCTTCAATGCTTGAAAAAGATGAAGAATCCAAGGATCTAAGCTTGGCTAGCTGTTGCTCAACCCGGATCGTGGATGGATGCGATCGAGCAGGTAAGCTTATGCTTCTAACTCTATAACGACTCCAAGGTGTTTGTGAAAATGCAACCATGGCTATTCTGTTGTTATGCTGTGTAAGGGTCTAATGTGGGTTATAGATGAAATCTGATGTTTCCCATCACAAATTTATATAGGTAGAGACTCAAAATCAAAGGGAAACATTTTTGGGGATTTAAGGTATCGAATTGTGCATGTGAAGGCAGCCAAGGATTACTCAATGGTGCGGTTATGAAGTCACATCTTTTGCCGGCTAAAAAGTAATTTTAAATTGGCATCATCCATTCTCCATATTTAATGGACCTTTATTTTTCTTTTATATGGTTGCGGGATAAGTGGCTTGTCATCCCTTATTTACATTCCCCGTATCTCCACCGCCATCAACGCCAACTCACGCTTATCCATGGTTGAAAGTTGAAAATTCATTGGCGTTGGAAATTGGTAGCCATTAAATAAAACCTGGCCATCCCCTTTGGACACTCGACGTGATTTTGTTTCATAATGGCAGTCTTCTTTTTCTATTGTTTTTCACGTTTTGAAGAACTTTTAGGCTGTTTCAGGAGAGAGAAAAAGGTTCATCCAAGTTGATTTGAAATTGACCTTGCTTGAATAAGCTGTCAAACTTCTAGAAGTTATTGGGAACTGGTCTTCACGGGATATTGTTGGAGAGTCTAAGGTCTTGTGACTGTTTTGGAGTCTGATTTTGGTGGTGAAATGGATTAAGATAGTAAAATTTTGCAAGGATTGTGGGGAGATGGGGGGGGGGGGGGGGGGGGG